AACATTCCAAATGTCTATTTAGTGTTGGTGTTAATTTACTTTTTCATTTATCAAACTTTACAGGTTAAACAGAGCAAAAGGAGGGGTGCTGAATGGGAAAGGTTGCTATACTGGATAAAAATTGGGGGAAAATACAACACAAGTTTTTGTTGATGGTTATACACAAGTTTGTTTGAGACCACACAAGTTTCAACACAAGTTTCAGAAATTTCAAACAAGTTTCAGAAATTTCAACACAAGTATTGTGTAGATTTTCACACAAGTTTGTGTTGTTTGACAAATTTTAACACAAGCTTTGTGTTGTTTCAACATTTAACACAAGTTTTGTGTTGTTTCAACACAAGTTTGTGTTGTTAGATAGAGACACCTTACTTGTGTTGAAAACAACACAAGTTTGTGTTGTTTCAACACAAGTTTCTTTTCAGTGTGGGTTCAATTCTGATTTCAAAAATAAAATTCACGAATCCATGATGACAGAAATGAAATCCCAAACGTCGGAATTTTAATTAATCGTCATTCAATTTTTTACTTCCGTTAGATATGACATGTACAATATGTCCTATAGACTATAGGCTAAGGGTTTTAAGGGTGCAGAGTTCAATTTCTATCCACAAAACTAATTATGAATAGCCTAGATGAGGTAAATTTAAAACTATGAAAATAGAATCAAATATGGCGATTTTTGTTCATTTGGATATCCCTTGAAAAATAAAGATGTCAGAGTTACTGAGTTCAATACGGGGTTCAAAAATTAATTTCCGATAAGATTGTCAGACATAGAATTTGTGCATAGGCTGAAAACATCACGGCATATCATAGAAAGTATCATTTTCAGTCAGTTTTTCAAAAGAAATTTTGCGCCTTTCAAAAGAGAATTCAATCGGACCCCATGGAATTTGGGCCCCCGGTCCGTCCGTGGTATCATCTAGAACGATAGTGACCACAGGCAGACAAATAACAGGCAGAAATGATGAACCTTTGGTTAATGTCGGTCCTAATGATACCGCTGGAGGTGAGAGTCCGGTGGTGTTCTCTTCGAATAGGCGCAAAATTTCTTTAGAAAAATTGACTGTAAATTGTGCATTATATAGGAATATCTTGGTTTTTCTAGCTTCTGCACACCTAACTTTCGGCAACCTTAGCAATTCTTAAAAAAACGACATAAATTCATGATTAAAAGGGGACACCAAATTACGCAAGAACATTAACTAGTTTTGGGAGCCCGGAAGAGGGAGGGGAAAGATCGGAAGTTAAAACGTATTGCGAATTTCTGCAGTACTTGCTTACTTTAATCATTAGTAGAAATACGCTATATAAAATAATAATTCGTATATTGTTTTACAGCTACAATAACGAAAGAAAGGTATGTTTCCATTTTATTCAAAAAGCAATTTATTGTCATTTCAGGCAGAACGATATGGTGTTAAATGATGTATGCCTTAAATTATCATATCAATTAACAATTGGTATATTGATCGAGTATTTAACAGCGACAAGAACGTTTCCGACAATACTATATACCGAAAAACACCGGAAAACAACAGGAAAACACCGGAAAACAACAGGAAAACACCGGAAAACAACCGGAAAACACCGGAAAACACCATTTTATACAGAATACCGGAAAACACCGGAAAAACACTAAATACCGGAAAACACACTAAATACCGGAAAATACCCTCAATATGTAACCCGGAGACTGGCACCCTAAATAGGTAACCGGGAGCATGGTCCTCTGTGTGCCTGGGTTAGGTTTAAGAATTTGGAGGGAGAGGTTAAGTCTCCACATAAGCACTGACCTAGGATGATGAAAAATTAGTTCGTGATATTTCCTAGTTTTATTAAAATACATACAATACATTAGATTTATATACAAAGGCGATTTCACTGTTTATTGGTGTTGGTGGCGCTGATGGTCTTCCTTGGGTGGTGCTTCTGGTATTCTGGTATTATTGTTTCTGAAGAAAAAAGAAAATACATTTGAGGCTCTCGGGGTAGGGTTAGGGTTAGGGTTAGTTTCCGGTTTATAGTATAGCCCTTCTCCGGGTTACCTATTTAGGGTGGTTTCCGGTATTTAGTGTGTTTTCCTGTATTTAGTGTTTTTCCGGTGTTTTCCGGTTTTCAGTATAACATGGTGTTTTCCAATAGTTTTCCGGTTGTTTTCCGGTGTTTTTCGGTGTTTTCTGGTATATAGTATAGCCCAAACGTTTCCGTTTAATAGAAAATTCCAATAAACAATTTATTGTTAGTTTGAGGGGAAAGTGCTACAAGTGGTAGATAATATATAAATGTTGCTTAAATGCATATTTTCATAAACTTATTATGCAGATAGATCTTTATATGGAAGGTCCACTTGAATATAACATAATATTTTGTGCGAAATAGGCGTCCTGAATACAATACAAAATAGGCGACTTATGAAATTTTGCAGTCTAGTAGTTTATTCATCCGATGCAAAGTGAACGTACCTTTTTCTGCGTGCCCAGTTTGCGATATTTTAGTATGTTTACGGTAAAAGCGTGTCATAAAATGCTTCTATTATAAAGGTAACAATTATTATCGTGATACATATAAATATATATATATACTGAGTGCCATGGAAAACGCATCACTTAGTTTTTTCGTATAACAAAATGATCCTGTAAACATATCTTATTTATTTTGCTTCTTATTGTGAACAATATTCAAATGGGAACACATCAATAACAACACATTTGTACACTTATGGATGTTTAATCTGTAATCAACGGTACAAAGTCAGAGGGGTCAAAACCAAAATACGACACAGATGTCAGTAGCGCGTGTGTCCTCCACGGGCTCTTACGCACGCTGTACAGCGACGTCGCATGGAATTAACCAATGTTTGAAAGAAGGCCTGGGGCAAATTGTTTCATTCTTGGACAAGAGCAGCTTCTAAAGCAGCAATGGTGTGCATCTGTGGTCTCCGATACAGACGGCGTCCAATCTCATCCCAGACATGTTCTATCGGTATCATGTCCGGATAAAGATGAAAGCGACTCTCATCACTGAAGAGCACACTTTGCCAGTCTACTCTTCTCCATGTCTAGTGTCCTTGAACCCATATCAAACGCCGCTGACGGTGATGATCCCCGAGGATAGCTCCAACATAAGGTCGTCATGCACGGAGTCCTACTTCTCTTAGACGACGTCTTACGGTGTTGGCACTTACTGGTCCTTGTCTTCCGACGACTGCTGCACATGTACGAGTCGCTGGGCGGAATCTGTCACGCAGATGAGTGACCCGGATGTAGCGGTCTTGAGCCTGGGTTGTAACGCGTTGTGGACCAGGACGTTGACGGTCACGTGTTGATCCAGTAACTCGAACACGTTCCACCAACCTTACTATAGTGGACTGATGACAATTGAAGTGTCTGGCAATAGCACGTATAGACATGCCAGCCCTGGACATTCCCAAGGCTTCATTCCGTTGATTTTCAGTAAGTCTCGGCATCTCTAGCTCGATTCCTTCACACGTTCAACAACAAATTACGACAGATTGACGTTTCACAGTTCATGTACTGCACATTAAGTTGAAAACATGCTTTTAAGGGGCTCACACACAATGCTGCACGTGAATATTGGGTTTTTCATGTGCATCTCGTGCAATTATTTTTTTTGTGCACACGGGCCGATATTTTTTGCGTTTGGGAGCATTGTGTGAAACAATAGTTCATAGTATTGCATAATATTATACATACAAAACCACTTAGTAATAAAATATTTGGGAAAAAAGTGATGCGTTTTCCATGGCGCTCAGTATATATTGACGCTAGGTATATGTTTGCTAATTTCATTTTGAATTCGTGTGAGAGATTCCGCTCGGTGTATTTCTTCACAGTCAGAAGATACTACATCTTGTGGTAACTATGTATTGTGACATCACATCTTGCGGTAACTATGCTTGAAATCATTAATTAGTATGCACAGATAGTTCTTTATATAAAAGACAAAACTTCTTTTTTAAGTGTTATTAAAGTATTCTTATTGTTGTAGCACTGTAAATGTGCTAATTTTCTTATATTTTTTTTACTTTTTCCACGTTTTCGCTTAAAAATGTGGTATGTGTTTTCTTGGAAATTAATAAAACAAATTACTAAAAATATATTCTTCAAATAAATTCAAATAAACAGCTTCATTCTGGCCTTTATTTCATAGACTTTGACGGAAAACTAGAGCGGGTAGGATAAAATTGATATATTGTCGGCGGCCATATTTGATGACGTCATTGTGGAATAACCTACCACTTGGTGAGTGTCCACCCAAGTTCAAAATACTTACTTCGGCACCCACTATACATTTCTTCAAAAAAATTCGCCCTACTCAAACTTTCCTACAGAACCACAGTCAGATGCTCAATTATAGCTACCATTTAGTTATCGATTGTTAGTTACGTACTCAGCGTTCCGTCACCTATCGAAAACCTAGTGAACGCGATCGAGGCTAAAGTTTTAACTATTTTTTCTTTCAAATTTGGTGTGAGGTATTGGAGTCAAGATTGGACGAACTCTAACAATATTCAACATTCCTAAATACCCCTTTCCAAGTACCTTTCGGATAAGCTACTGTCTATGACAATCTTTTAAATCTTAAAAAGATTCAAAGAAAAATCATTGCATAGGCGTACGAGCTGGGGGGGGGGGGGGGGATTTGGGCACACAATATTGTACTTTGTAAAAGTTGTATAAAAAAATATTGCGTTCTTGAATGTGTCCAATTTAACAGTGAATTTATTATTATTATGTAACATACTAAGAACCTAACTACATTTTTTGGGCACCAACCACCAACGCCCCCGCCCCCAGTCAAAAATTTTCCCGTACGCCTATGAGAAAAATATAAAAGTAGGTGCTTTGCGTGGCTATATTTTTAAAATGGATATTTCATGCTTATGAAATGAAATGGGGTTCAACGTCCTACTTTTCTGCTCCGATTCTAGTGAAGACAGTTCCTGCTTATGTGCTATTGACATTATTTTACAGGAAATGGGTGATAAGTACAAAAATAGTGGAAGGATTTCCTGATGATTGGAGTAGTAGGACATTCTCTAGTAGGTTAGTTTCTACTAAACATTAAATTGCATAAAATCCGATGTGGCCCTTTATTCAGCTTTCAGACGTGTGTGTGTGTGTGTGTGTATTTTTGATACATACGCTTTCAACAGTTCAAAGATGCAGCATGATAAAAGAACTGTATAATTATTTTAACATAACCGCAATTAAAGAGAAATTGGTCAAATGTATTAATACGGTTACAGGTGTATATAAAGGTGATGGCCTGAAAATCATAACAACCAAGTGATTACAAAATTCAACATTTGATTTTTTCATCGAGCTTGTTGTCCACTGAAGAGCTATACTCCTCCCATTCCAACTGCCGTAACACACACTCACAAATGCATATTAAGCGATTGTGAAAATGAATTAATGTTAAATGTGAACATTTGGCCCGGACAGCGACATTTGTACCTTCACTGAATTCCAACTGTCAAGGGTTCTTTTACGCAAGCCAGCGTGTATACGGGACCTCGGGGTTTCGCTCCTTCCCCACGACTAGCCCCTTTTATTTGTCAGGCCCTCTGTCCTGCATCACTGAAAAGCTTGTCGGGGATACTGCATTGGTTACTTTTCTCTTTTTGTCAATCTGCCATAACATTTGCACCGTCGTCTTTCAATTTTATTTGAGTGTAAACCAAAATGAAATTTTGACCGAAGCAGAAGCTTGGTTACTACTCTCTTTTTGCCAATCTGCCATAACCTTTTGACCGTCATCTTTCATTTTTATTTCAGTGTAAACGAAAATGGAATTTTGACCGAAACAGAAGCTTGTCTCTTGGCAATAAGATATGGTGCAAAATTCATTCTACATCTCAATGATGAGATGTTCAATATAGAAAACCTTCAAGACTTTACATATTCTGATTGGTCAACAGGATTACAATATGCACCAAGTCACCATGGAAACACTTCCAATGGCTACTTCTTTTGTATTGGTAAAAAACATAAAGTAGTAATACAGAAGTGTATAAGGACATCGGCCGAATTTAACCGATTACCTAACTTCTTTCTTTCCAATGGCAGTCTTTTCATGGATGATTACCAGAATGCTCTGTTTTCATACGATGTCTTTTGGCTTTTAGGAGTTTTCTCCATTTGCGGTGTTACAGACGACACATCACCCATGATAAGAAATCTCATAATTCAAAGAATTGTTTCAGAAATTAACGGCGATTTACTTATTATACCTGGATGTGAACTAAACAGTTATACCAGTGAAGGTTTACTCAAAGCCGTACCAAACGAAATGTATAACGCATTTAAAGATTGGAAGTGCCAGGAGACTTTTAATATTCAAACTTGTTTTATCGACCTTGTGAAACATTTACAAACTTTAGAATTACTAGAAAAAGATTCTCTGTCTAAGGTTAATTATTGGCTGACTCAATTATCTTTTGTTAATTACGTCATGCCCAGACGACAGGAGGGCGTGACTTCGTGTTCAAGTCAGTTTCCAGTGCTTTACAACTTCCGGGCTTCGCCTGATATCAAACCGGAAACAATAAAGTCGAGTCATTATCATAATGTGTGTCCACACATACATTCACCATGGAAACAGCCTATAATAGATGACATTGCGTTAATTGTTACGTACAATGAACCGAAATTTTATCACAATATAAATTTTACACAACTTATTCATCGGCCATATTTTAAACATCTAATAATTTGTGGTCCTAATATAACAACATTCTACCGTACTATAAATTTTATGGATATTCCAAGTGTGACTTTCCTAAAAGGATACAAAGATGTTGCTAATTCATGGACACTAATGTATAAATGCACCATGTTAGCCATTGAGATTCATCTTGGAGTCAAAGGTTACTTACAAATAGGAGACGACGTTTTATTAAATTCCTGGAATGTATTAAATTTACCACGAGACAGGTTTTGGATAATTAACAATTACGAAACAGTAAACCGCTTGTCTAATAAAGCTAAATGGGCTTGGTGGAAATCATATCGTTACAGAACTAACACCCTTTTAAACAAGATAAAAACATCAGCTGGAAATGAAAATCTTCACAATGAAAAGACCTTTTGGAAAAACTTTATCGACGCAACAGGTAGTGAAGACAAGGCATTGGTAAAATCAACAGATTTTTATTATATTCCCAGTAAATATAGCTCACAATTTCTCTACTACGCGGACCTCTTTTATGAAGCCAATATAATGAATGAACTAGCAGTAGGCACAATTATTCTCGGACTCGTTTCCAAATCGGATGTAAAATGGATAAATGGAAGTACTCTGTGGGGTGGGAACAGAAACCATTCCTACAAGTTTTTCAATCCACAACATACCTTTATTCACCCAGTGAAGCACTCAAAACTACTCTATTATAAGGAATACACGTCATTTTTGTGTGACATTTACTTACAGTATATGACAAATGTAACATCAATGTAAATTAGCACCCATATATTGGCTACTCGTACGCTTATAATAGTCTTGATTTTGTTATTGTTTTGTTGAAGAAGAAATTCCGGGTTACCAGTTGATACACGTGGGTTTTGTACACAAATTAAACAACATCATGTAAAGAAACAACATGAAAAAAACTTGTCAGAAATTCTTAGTTCAAATTATTGAGCCGTTCGGAAATGATCACTCGGTTAACTGACTCTTGTACGAAATTCGATTGTTCTATTGTGTGACTGGCTTGATAATTGTAGCAATAACTTTCTTATCACTCTAATTTAGTAAAAGATGTAGACATATACATTTAGACACCTGGGGACAATTGTAGGAAGCCCAATTCAGCTAAACATTGGCTCTATAAATGTTAAACTTATTTCTGTGAATCTAATGTTAACGATTCTGGATTAAAGTATATAGTTTTTAGATCGTTGGTTGTTTAGAAATAAAAAAACATATCTTCAATGCCTAGCAACGAGACAAGAATGGAATAATACTCGTATTTTCCATTTGCTTTATAGGGTTCTTAAAACATTCCTTGAGCTGCCCAACTAATGCGTTTCTGAACTAGGTTTCTAGCTTTCTGTATTCAGAGCATGTACTAGCGAGAATTGGCAGTATATGAAATTGGTTTGGGGCGGGGTGAATAATATTTGAGTAATTATGAAAATTTGAAATAATGACAAAATCATGTTTGGATTAGCTTATTACAGTTCACCGTTAGTTCGTTATATCAGTCTTGGTGCGCGAATTGTGATATCTTTTTCAAGAGGGCGATTACTAAATCAACTAACAAACTTCAACCTAATGTGTCCCTTACTGCCCAATCACCGAATATTTGTCCCCCACCTTTCGAGGGAAGGGGACTATTAAAATGGGTTCGTCTGCCTGTCTGTCTATCTGTCCGCCTGCCTGTCCGTCACACGTTTTGGGACACAATAACACTCTTTATAATTGAACTAGAATGTTCAAACTTGTTGTAGGTATTTATTAAGTCAATGCCTTGATGGAGTTCGAAGAGATAAGCAATTTGATTGGTTGATGCTTTGGGACACGATAACTTTAGTTCTAATTAAGTGCCTTAAGTGCCTTATTTCAAGGCTGTTTAATCAGTAAATAGCAATATCGATATCATGGTTATATGGATTTTTTTCAATATTGTTCAAACTGTAGATTTGTTATCCATAATAATATGGATGTTTTCTGAAGTCATTTCTCTTTTTTTTTAAAAGTTAGGTATGAATAGTGATGGATATTATAAGTAAAAGTTACCTATAATATCACATATTTCAAAGTTTGTGAAACAATATAGAAAGTTCACAGTAGATACATTATCTATAACATGGATATTGAATATTTCAATGTTGAAAACACAGTGCATACATTATCTACCGTAATATGGTATTAAATATTTCATTGTTAAATACACAGTGAATACATTATCTATAACATATGGATATCAAATATTTCCATGTTGAATAGACAGTGAATACATTGGTTGTGACCGCGTATATCAAAGTAAGTCGGAATACGTAAAATCTAATTTTGGACTAGAGACAACATAAGTGAAAATATTGATTTTGATCGAAATTGAGATTTTCACAAAAATGAATCTATAAATATACTATCTATCGACACAAAACATCAAAATAGCAATAACAGATTTTAGAACACCTTTATATGAACGTTTTGTAAGAGTACCGTATTCTTAAATCTGTCCTATTTCTTAAAATTCTCGGCGAAATTAGTTATTTTTCTTCGCTCGCTGCGGGACGACTGGTCATTCGTCTTGCACAATAATTGGCATTGTTGTCAAGCGGAGAATCTCTTGTTTACAAATATGATCAAATTAATGTCGATGAATTGATTTTGAACGGGTACAATCGAGTTTTAAAAAATGCAAACCACCACCGCTTGTTGCGATGCTGTCTACACAAATCGTTTGCTGATTGGCCCAGACACCGGGTGAAAAGCATTATGGTTACGTGGTTGACTCGAGCGGGCGATAAATATTTGATTTTGGCGATAATGTTTTTAGGTACCTACATGCGATTCACTCTGGTAAGTGGCAGAAAAAAATTAATTCTGATCGTATATAGATTGCCGTTGAGTGTTAATCCAAACCTCGTGGCTGATTATGTAAATTAATCGACATGCGGGTGGGTGTCATTGAGTAATACTAACCAACTATCACGGGTCAATGATAAAGCCGTCGACAACTCCTTATTTACTCCGAATAATTATTCCAAGCGGTGATTATTTGATATCTCATATCATCTTTAAAAAAATAATTTATAGGCCTTAAATGAAAATAAACAAAATGGCAAATAATTTTCTTTAAGAACAGAATTTTATTGATAGATGAATTCCCTTTACTGTCGCTTCTTCATACGGCATGCAAAGTAAGGAATGCATCTTGGATATTATTGTTTGAAAGTCTCTAATCACCATGGGTTGAAAAACTGAGAACTACCAACGAGCCGAATTGCGACGATTCTCGAGTCTGCCATTGTTTAATTACATCAGAGCCAGAATGCACGAAAGTGAACGTAAGTATTTCGTGACTATGAAATTGACATTTCTATAGAGACTCATATTTTGATACCGTTACGGTACCTGAAAATAATAATAGACCTATCATACACGCAAAATCTTATTTTAATTCACGTGTTAAATTAACACGCGTACAGATGTGGCGGCTTCTTTGATGAGATTAACTGTTAATCTCATCAAAATTATAATATACAAAACAGACTACTAATGTATAGATTATTCTTCAGTATAACACTATCATGTGAATATGCCGTATGTGTTATGGATGTTTCGACACGAAAGGGTTCATTTACTACGATTTTCGCCGTCAGCACCCTTGAAATCCAAAATAAAAAAATATTAAACGACAAAATAACAAATAAATGGCGGAAATCGTTGGATCAAATTTTAACTACGATTTTCGTCTTCAGCACCCCTGAAAACCCATGGAAAGATATATTCAACTACAAAACAGCAAACAAATGGCCTGGTTGCTATGGGATTTTGTTTTGGAACATACCAAATCTTTGACTTGCTTTTTCTCAAAACTTACTTTTGTGAGTTGGGAAGCTTCTAATGGACACAGCTCAGTCAATATTTGCCCAATTCAAACAAACTATACATCAAATTGAAGGTAATGGGTTGGAGAATGTGAAAATAATAATAACTCAATTTTCAAAATGTCCTCACTGCGACTCAGTATGCTATGTGGGTCAAAGATGTTTAAGGAGTAGCTACATCATCTATAGTAATATGACAATCAAATATGTCAAAGATGGTTAAGGAGTAGCTACATCATCTATAGTAATATGGATATCAATATTTGAAGTATATTATCTATAGTAATATGGCTATCAAATATGTCAAAGATGGTTAAGGAGCAGATACATTAACTATAGTGATATGGATATCAGATATTTCAATGCTTTAAACAGTAAATACAGTATCTACAGTAATATGGTATCAAATATTTTAATGTGCAATATGTTGCAGCTATATGCGGCGCCTCAATAAAAGTTTAGACTCGCTGCTTTAAGTGTTCAGGATAGGGCGAGGAGAAATGATAACGCAAGATGGTTTTAAAAGTTTATATAAATATCACCAATATCACATAGTTACAACAAAATAATATAATGATCATTCCGCGAACGCGGTTACAGGTTAAAGATGAAGCATCAGAGCATCACACGAAGAACGTCAAAAGCCTCATGAATAAGAATAACAACATGCCCTGAAAGAAGAAAAATACATTCCATACGAAGATGATACAAGTCAATGTTATACAATCTTAATCATATCACAGTAAACCCATTGATTGACTTCCATCTTTGGATAAAGTCAATAAATTATCTCATAAAATCATAATATAGAATCATTCATTCCACACACTTTATTTCACATATCAAGCATCTATGTATCTTAAAGTTATGTAAATGTGTCTCACCAATTTTTGGAAATGAGCCGTATCAATCTCAGGAACGAACCAGTCATCCAAGCAAAAAAAGAAGAGTAAGGGAAAATACTGATTCATATTATTTAATAAAACGCACCACCCAAATAACCAATCAGAATACAACAAATCATATCACCTAATAAACAACCTCCAAGTGAAATGTACAACAAAACCATCTAGAACAAAAGTAACTCCTCTATATTTTAAACTTAGGACGCAAAGAACAAATTTCAAAGATAAGAATCAAATCCTAGTTCCCACAAAACCAAGACCAAAACTTCAAAAGTATAACTACAATAGAAACGTATATACACCACAACCCATAACATCTTTTTTTTTACTTTTTTAACTATGAAAAATAAAACTCGAAATCCCATTAATTAAATAACAAGACCAAACAACCAAACGGCCAAACTGAAAAGTAGCAAATTATACCCCGCTACATACTTCCCCCACCGTTAAATGACGTCCACGTCATAACTTACCAGAGATGTTCAATTACTTATTACCAATAATTACACCGAGTAAAGCATTACTCACTTCTTGAGACATGGACGTAAATGTACCTGCCAAATGTAAAGACTGAATATACTTAGCTCTTTCCATCCATTCCGGTGATGTATTTATTTCAGACATGACAAATTCTCCATCTCTCATCCATTGTGGTCTTTGTCTATTACGTCCAGATCTTCTTGGTGGCGCGTCAATATGTATAGATTCTCCAGATGAATCATCTGAATTAATTACATCTGGTATAACGTCAGTTGGTACTGGTAAATCAGAAATGTCGGAAATCTCTTCTACTTCAGTTCGAATATTCTTCTCTCCCTCACCTTCAATATCCTCCTGGATATTGCCTACAGCAAACATTTCATCTACAACTGCTTCGGCTTCAATGGAAGTGTGACGTGTAAGTACTTCAAAATCTTCACAAGATTCAAAAGGCTGTGAATCAGCTATTTCCTCCGAGACATATACGATTACCTTTTTCAATTTCCTGTGTTTAGGTTGAGGTTTATAGGAAATTAAACTGGGCACATCTGTATCCTGAATAATGCTATTGATAAATGATTCCTATGAAGTGTACGAGTTCTTCCCAACCCAGATTCTGATCTAACTCGATACACGGGAATATCTAAATTAGGTTGGTCTACAACAATATAGGCATCGGTTTCCCATCGATCGGCTATCTTATGATTACCATCAAACGCAAGATTCTTAACTAAAACACGATCACCTTTTTCAATTCTTATACCTCGAACTTTCTTATCATAAAGTTGTTTTTGTCGCTGTTTACTCCTTGTAGAGGATATAGAGGCCAATTCATATGCTCGTTGAAGACGTTCCTTTAATTTCTTGGTGTAAAGGTGTAATGACATTAAAGAAGAATCAGATCTGTATTTATTCCAAATGCTAGATCGATCGGTAATCTAGGATGACG